ATTGCTGCAAAAGGTGCCCAAACCAAGTACTGACTACATATTCATGCTTATACTTTTCAGAGGTCCGATATTGTTCTATGTACATACAATCCTTGTTTTATTGATGGGATGTAATATTCTAATTTTCTGAGATTGTGGATTTGGGGTTTTCATAAGCTGTAAGCCATAATCATCACAATTATGACAAATCACAGCTTGAACTATCTTGCTTTGCATGGGTCTATCTCATATATTAGTTTCATCTTTTAAGTTGCATTACTGAAATAAATGAAGTTTTGCACGATATTCTAATTTTTTAAGTTTCACCTATATGTCCCCCCAATGAACACTAGTAAAGTGTTATGTTTGCCGATGCAATACTTGTAGAGATATAGTCATTTGTTTGCTCCGATACTGCAGCCTTCTACAGTATGACTGTGAGGGTTTAGCAACTTTGAGGCATAATATCTCCAGCAATATTTTGTTGAGAGAAACAAAACTTGGCCAACTTGTACAACTTGGTGTGCTTTATTAAACAAAATAATAAAAACATTCTCATGAGAGATCTCCATCTAGATAAGTTGGAACAAAGTTGGCCGAAAATGACTGCAGTTCCAAGAAAGGTTAAAGTTTGGCTTTTTATATCTCTGGAAGGAAAGGTACGAAAAACGTGAAAAGTTGTGCATAATAACATAGCAAAACAAGGTTACCGAATGTAAAATTTCATTTTCCTACTGCTTTCCAATAGTTCACAAATTGAGTGTAAAGTTGATGGTTTTTGTAATAATGCCAAAAATAGTGTATTTTCAGCCCACTTTTACAAAAAAAAAAAGACCTTCTGGAAACTCTATTAAATCATTCTCATTAGAAAGAGCATGTTTCAACCCCCCTAAAAAGTAGGGTTGGTGTTTCATCACAGATTTATAAAGCCCTAAAAATAGGGACAAAGTTGAGGACAGTGCTATGGCAACGTCACATGCATTCTATTATTGTTTCATCTTTGTTTTATAAAGACATCATTACTATTATTATATTGTGTTGGTCCATGGTGACATTGTCACTATCAGTTCAGGCACTTGACCCAGCAATCCCATTGCCACTGGAGATACGCCCAATAGCTGTGCAAAATGAGCCACAGGTGGGTTTCTTGATTCAGGATCCCAAGCCTGTAGTTTGGTTTCTTCCTCGAGGTTCCAAAGCCTTGTGTGGGTATCTGTCTGGTTCCCATGCCAACAATTGGGCAGATTAGTCTAGGTTTCTAATCCTAAAGTGGGTATCTTATATGGTTCCCAAGTGATGTCCGTATTGTTCGTATAAACTGCCAAATTCCAACAATTGCTTATTTATTCTTGAATTTGCATGCCACATTCTTTAGTGTCGCTTCTGGGAATTGATACTGTCGAC